TTTTATTTTTTCATTAGATCTTTGAAACTACTTGAGCTGCCATCTGAAACATTCAAACTTTTCTCCATTCGGTCAACTAAAATATTTTTTGAATTCGAATCCGACTCTCTATTCTCTCAAAAACTGAATTGACACTTTTTACCCCGTATCTTCAAAACGGCTAATCCTGCCTTTGCCAAAAACTAATCAGCATGTATCCATCCCCATATGCTTACTTTACAGAAAGTTAAATATTGCAGGCCTATGATACATGGTTGAATTATAAAAATATGCTTGTGAAACAAATTATACATATATTTGATAATTAATACATTGGAACAGTGTCAACATTTTACAATATAGAAAGTAAGACAGAAATTAACTAATAACCAGAAATAATTTTTAATTGGAGGTGATTTTTAGAAATTTGTAACATACCATTGCAAAAAATTATGTCTGACTATTGTTAATAATGAAAATCAATTCGTTGGATGAAACTTATAGAAGAACCTAATTCTAGAACCTATTTGATGAACTTTGAATTAATAATAAGTATAATATATTAAATAATACATATTAGAAACAAATTAGATTTAGAATATTTCACAATTTCAAATACACTCATTTTTATATATCTTTCTATATAATTCCATAAATGTGAGCGAGTAAACTATAACAATATCTTTAAAAAAAGGTACTTATGTTCCAAACAGAATTATAACATTAGATATGTATTTCATAATAATTCAATTTGCAAAATGAATTAGCCAGTAACTCAATGCAAATTAAATGCTAAATTATTGAAATAGTAATACACATACAAAATATTGAAATAGTAACACATTAAGATTGCAATCATCTGTAATACATAAATTGTAGGGCAGGATTATTTTACCCCATTCTAATAAAAAAATAGCTTTAACTGTAATTAAATCATGAATCTTCAATATTCCAATGATGAGTGCATTAACAAAATTTTTGGCACCTCTATCTCAGTATAAATGTATATAAAATTGCCTCAAGGGAAATCTTTATAATATTAATTTTAATCAGTCAATGTTGATTTATAATCTATAATTGCAGACCTTGACATGATCAGCAATTCAACTTGCACAGCACATTTCATCACAGCTGTTTTTGTTGTATAACATAGTACAGTTTATTTCATTCATTCACATCAGGCATTCACAATTCTACTCACATGACTAAAAATAGTATTGATTGTAGTAATAAATTTTAATAATCTCATACATTCAAACATTATTCAAACTTTCACCAAGTGATTTTGACATCAATGTATGATTTTGTGATTCATGATGACACAATTATGTTTTTTTAGGAAATGAAATATCTAGAATGAACTAGATCAGAAATCTAAAGTTTTAAATATTAAAAACTAAATTATGAAGACAAACAATTTATGATTAAATTGTAGACCATTTCCTCAGTTAAGAGTTTAAATACTGTTGTGTTGAATTTATCATTAGCTTGATTAGTGCCTACTGATAGGTAATCATAAAACAATGTTATTAAAATTAAAAAATATTTAATCTCAGACAGATTCTTATTCAAATGATGAATATAGAAAACTAGTATACGTTTTGAAATAATAGTAAGGATGTAAATAAATGATGTCAATATCACAAAGGAGATTAAGAACACTTAAAATTACTTTATGACACTATTTTTTTTTAAATAGTATGCAGTTTCTATACAATTCAAAATTAATTACACCTATCCCCTATTTTACACAGTACTCGTTTTACATGTTATTGATCTTACAAGGTCTTTAAAAGTAATTTAGTTAGTAATTTTAAAGTAACATGAAATTATATACACTAAACTATGATTAGCTTGTATCTACAATAACATTTTCATTGATGTAGTGCCAAAATACAACATTAATGTCTATGATAGAAATATGTAAATAACATTGGAACTCCCCGTTTTATGATCAAAACTAAATCTTATGCGTGTATGAACTAGTTTGTTGGAAATACAAAAATATAAAGCTTCATTCTTTTTAAACTTTATTTTTGATTAGTGTTTATATATATTGATAGCGTATTTACTCAAGGTGAACAAATAAAATTATTTTTTACAAAATCTACAATTGATAAAAAAAATTATGGTTTGACAATGGTAAAAGATAAAAATAAAAACTAGACTCAATTAGAAAAATTGTAGCTGCTGGAATGTCCACAAGTCTTACCACAGTTTCTCGTTGTGGAAATTATTGAAATAAATTAATATTTGTATAATATATTAAATGTGTTTGATATTTAATATATTAATATATATTTTTTGTTCAATGTGATGTTATTCATTATATTAAAATCTGACAAAAATGAATTTTTTAGAATGATTTTCGATTAGCACGGTTTTTACATATAAAAAATTATTTTTCGAGTTACACGGTTTTGTATGAAACGTATTTGTTGTGTAAAACGAGGGACAGGTGTATACAGAAGCTTTATTATAATTATGTACTTAAATAATTGAATATCATTGGTAACACCATCAGATATACCAACGAGCTGGATAAAATTAATCAGTTTTTCACGTATTGCTTGATTAGTATTTCATTGCTAAGATTTTCTACAAATGCTCAATTATTAGATCTGATGGACACCTGCTATTTTAAAATTATATTTCATGAAAAATATCTTTGAAAAAATAATGTAAAATTACATCATTTATTGGCATGTTGTGACAACTTATGAATAGATATTATTGCTCAGCTTATTTATAATTCATTTCAAAAGCCTTAGCTTCACTCAACCACGTTTTCAGATAATACAGCTTGAGACTGAATATCGACACGACATATAGGACACTGTTTTCTAATAAGCAGCCACTCATCAGCACAAGTGACATGAAAGAGATGCATACATGGAAGTCGTCTGTGAAAATTTGTAAAATTATCATATCAAATAAACACACATCTATAGATGAATAATCAAATTTTCATATTTTTTATATAAATTCTGAATCATGTTTAAATGATCTCACCTAACACTTAATCCTTCCTCAAATTCTGAAAGACATATTGTGCATTTCTCAAGGTTATCATTACTGAGATTCTTCTGGTATATGTATCTACACGTATTCTGCTCAATAATATCCTAACGTAATGAATAAAATTGTATTAGATACATTAACATATATTGATCGGCCAAATACAAAATTTACAAAAAATCTGGTTGTAAGTTACATTGTGGCAAGTTGCATGAACTTCCTGTTTTGTGTAAACAATGAATTTAATCAATATTTTTTAATTTACATATGATCTAACTGTCTACCTGTCTACTTCTCTACATTTATTCCCCGTCGTCTACCTACTTATCTGTCTGTCTAGCTGTCTACTTACCTGTCCACTTTTCTTTTTCGTTATCTTTTTATCTGTTTACCTAATTACAACTAATTCTATTTGTATATGAATCAATAATAATAACTGTAAAGATGATATTTAACCAACAAATGTCAATGTTTGCAATTTTTTTCCGCTTTTCCAAAACCTTTGAATCTGCCTTCGCAAAAATGTAATTAATTCTTCATTTCATTAACAAAATTAAAATACTTTCAAAAACACTCAAAACGAATGCTCCGTTTTCTCAAAAATGGTCGTTTTTAGCACTTTTTTCTCGTATCTTCGAAATGGCTAGAGCTGCCTTTGCCAAAAACTAATCAGCATGTCTCCCTCTATCAATAGGAATCGAGTGTTTTTGAATCATTCAAATCGTTTGATCTGGCACCCAAAATTGTAGATGAAAATTTGTAACCATGCATACAGGCCGACAGGCATATATGCATACACACGCACGCACACACACACACACACACACACACACACATATATATATATATATATATATATATATATATATATATATATATATATACAATACTTGTTTATCTATGACCACTCGAGTGAGCGCTGAGTTCGAAAGTTCGAAAAGTGTTGCATGGATCCAAACCAAACTGTTTCTGACTGTCAGGAAAAAATCAAAATGAGTATGAAACAGCTGCGGATCGTCAGATTGGCTTGGATGGAACGAACCCTATGCATTTTTATGCTGCCAATTGTGATTTGGTGTTGATAATAAGCATACGGCGAAATATATTTGTGAGGTTAGGTTATTATATGTCAAATGCTTATTGAAAGCGGAGTTTTAGCAGAGAATATTACCATTCATGGTATGTAAATTAATATATTGAACACCGTTATATTATTACACAATACAAATCGGGCATTATAACAAAATTTATCATTTTCCTTACAGCAACTAAATCTAATAAAGCGCTTGATGATGAACGTAGTGATAAAATATTTAAGTTAATTGTATTGATGGTGCGTGAAGGCAACAAACCTGCCATACATTAACACAAGCATTATTTGTTCGTCTTGATTTTGATTATACTACTCGGCTCATTGAAAGATTGCAATTGGTGCAATGAATAAAGTATGCCAATATTGTCAGGCAATGAACTTTAGAAATAAAACAGAAGGCATGTGCTGCAAGAAAGTTTTAAATGAGAAGTGAATCTTCTAAATCGGATTACATTTTGAATTTTTTTACATTTTATTACATTTTTCAATTTTACGAATTGAATACATTTATAAGTAATATCATCACTTGATTACTTATGATAAATTTTATAAATTTATTCTAAACTTTAATTTATTGTTCTTTTTATTTTTTAATTTTAAGTAAATTTTGACCAATTAGTATTGATTAATAAAAACCACTGTAAAGCAGCAAAATATTTTTGATGACAAAACAACGTTTGCCGGGTCAGCTAGTATATATATGTATATATACCAATTTTTACAAAGTTATGCCAAAATGTTTAGGTGCTCTTAAAACATAAAGATATGCAAAAATTATCAATTTTCACTTTTTTGTGATTACTATAAGTCACCCTAAATGAAGTTAAAAAAACAGAAGCAAATTTATTAAATCATAATTTATCTTTTAAGAACACTTCACATTTAAAAAAAATGTTAGAAGGTATCTCACCATGGTAGCACCATCTTCCGCATCCTGCATCAGCACATTCATCCCTATCATATCTCGAATATATGAGATGAAATGAGACCGACTGGTTGCAACATCCTACAACATATAATACAAATATTAAAATTAAATTTGAACTACTTGGAAGTAGCATTTTACTTCAAGGCAAGCTGCATTAGCAAGAATGTTGCATAAAACGAGAACAAAAAACTACACTCTTTTCTGCTAATTACAAAGAATCGACTTGGTCGATCGTCGAGAAAACTGACCAACGCTAGTTCCTGTTGAGTTATATAAAATGGCTTTTTAATTTTTGAAACCGGTTCAACCGTTTTTTAGAAATCGTCGACGAAATGCCAAAAATCGGCTTACATACATACACACACACATAGACATACTTTTTCCAAACTTAGTCACATTCAATTTAGAATTGATTGAAATATTAAGAAAACCTAAAATTAGCAAATAGGATTTTATCGCAAAAACAAACATCTCCTTCAGGAATTTAATGAAAAATAAAAGTTTTCCTCAAAAGATAATTAATTTCTGAATTACCTCAGCCTCAGAATCAGCACCATATGCAATCCATGCCATATGCAGCGCGAGAGCTTGCCTGCGTGCTTCCTGATTTTGAATAATTATTAAAATCACAAATTAAATATGCATTTTATAATAATTATTAAATTTCAATAAGTTTTATAACAGAATGAAAACCTTAGGAATAGCCATGCTGTTCGTGCATTTGTCAAATTACTTATCTGATACTTAAAAAGATTAAGATTGAGCCTTCAAAATTAATTTTCACCAAATTTAATAAATACATATTTTTGAAACAGTTTAAGCTTTTGAAATTTCGTATTAGAAATTATACTAATAATATTTACTTACAACAATTCGTTCTTGGCGCATTCTTTCTCTTTGATGAACTAAGTAGGGCTGACGAACATTATTTGTAGTCGTAAGTCTTGGCGAAACGTTATTTTCAATCTTAAAGGCAAATAAAACAGTCAATAATATAAAAATTTAATATGTTAAATATAAATCTTTGCACAAAAGAAAAGTATACACTAACTGTACGATTGGGCGGAATTATTCTATCTGGGCTTGGTCCTGCAATTAAAAAAATATATGAAGGCTGAGTATATACATTTATTTATATTTCATAAAGTATTTTTATATACCTCTTGCAACTTGAACATGTGTCTGTTGCTCAATTTGTAATGGACTTTTTGGTCTTTCAACAGTTACCTCCGCCCTGAAATTAATCACAATACGTATGATTCAATTTCTATAACAAATATTAATATAAATTCAAATATCACGTAATAATAAAATGTTTAGAAATCCACATCCAACCGAAAAGTTACTGCAAAATTAAATCTAAACTAGTGGTATATGGAATCATGTCTTAAGGCAAATTGCTGAAACTTTCCGTACCGTAATTAAATATTCGAGGAATTTTAAATGTACTTAAATGCGCTATTATAAATACTATAACTTTCATTATTCCCATTTTATGGACAAAATATAGAAACTTATAAATTAGGCGACGACGTTTATATATATTTGCATAAAAAGTAAATAAAAAGGTCCTTATTTCATATTTATAATAATTAAACAAACTAAATTACAAAGATAAAATTATTTATTTCAAGTATACAAGCAAGTATCAGAATTTTAGCTCAAATCCTGGCCATTTTCGATATTTAAAAAAAATTGTAAAGTAAAAAAATATTGTTGACATTTTGAGACCAAAGAATTTTTTTTTGCCTTCCCCAAAAACTATTTCTTCACATTGTCGACACAAGCAAGATGTTCTAATCAGATCATTCTAATCAGATGATCTGTTCTCTCAATAACTGCTATTTTATGCACTTTTTGCTTCATATCTCCGAAATAACTGAACCTACTTTTGCAAGAAACTAACCAGCACTTCTCCGCGTCAATACAAATTGAATTTTTTTTAAATCATTTTTATCGAATGCTCCGTTTTCCAAAACTCTCATTTTCAGCACATTTTTTTGCTTCGTATCTTCCAACCGTTTTCTGGGGTATGCCAAAATGTTCAGACACCTTTGAAACGTAAAGATATGCAAATAAAAATATTTTCGATTTTTGGGCGTTTACTATAACTTACCGCACAGGAAGTTAAAAAAATAATAACTATAAATAATTTTATTGATTTTAATTCAAATACTCAATATTAATAGCAAGAAAATTACTCACACATCACCATTCTCACTTTCAGCATTATTTTCAGAGCTTGTTCCAGATGTGTCTTGAGGGCTGTGGTGCTTGCTACAGTTACCCAAGCTTCCACAGGTTTCACAGCTATCATAGCTTTCACTGCTATCAAAGGCATTGGCATCTTCACGATCTTGTTCAAAAGATGAATCCACTACAATGGGAGTGGACTGAAATTGACATAGCATATGATTAACTATTGGAGTTGCACACAATAAAATTTTAAACGATTTCTTATAGTTTCAATAATTTAAATGCTGATTGCAAAAAAGCATAGTTTCAAAATGAACTTCTAGTGAATTATGATTAGCTAAGTGGTGCTTTTAAATTTCAATCAAAATCCAAAACCGTATTTCATATATATATATATATATAGTTTATATAATATAATTATCAACATTAATATAACAATGAAGTGGAGAACTAACCTCGTTCGGGTAATTAGCACGTGCAGTTTCCTCGTCGCTAGAATCAGTTAAAAAATCCAATTGAAGATCAGGCGCCGAAAGAAATATAGCCTCTTGGGGATTCTCGAATTCAAAAGGCGTGCTCTCTGTATCGTATTGTGCGTCAGTGTCTGGGGTTGCATCGGAAACTTCAACCCAGTTCTTCTCAATTAGAATTATAGTTATTATAAATATTTTTCATATATATATATATATATATATATACTAGCTGACCCGGCAAACGTTGTTTTGCTAAATAAGGTATATTCTAAACCATTTCTAGAGAATCAAAAATATTAATACTTTAAGTGCATAAGGATGTGTTGTTTGAATGCTATATACAATGAAGTATCATAAAAACATTAAACCCCATTAGTTTGTCTATATTTTGTCAATACAATCAAACTGCAAGTTTAATTCACTTCCTATAGAAAACATCGTATAATTCAAACCGAGTCTTTTTTGGTCTTTCGGCTTATTAATTACGTTTCAAGTTTTTCATATTCTTTTTGGATTCTGGATTTTGTGTATAATTGTAAATAATACTACTGAGCTTATAAAAAATTTTCAAATTTTTGCGAGAAGAGATAGAAAATAAATATTTAAAATTCAAAAAAGTGTTTCTTTTTTTACCTGCTTTTTGAAAAGTTTCAAGTAACATTCGGCGAAAAAAAGTAAATTTAATATAAAGTATATATGTAGAGCAGGGCGAGGCACAAAGGTCCAATTTGACTTTGAGCAAATGTAAACTATATTGTGAAAACCATAACAATTATATCACAGCAAATAACACATATCAAGCGAACAATTATCTGAGTTCAGTAAACTGTCTTCTACTTCATCATTGTAGAAATTTGCCTTTTTGATGTCTTTCAAAAATTTGGTATCTAGACCTTTTTACCCTGTAGGCGGGGTAACTTGAAACGGGCAGGTGGCAAACAGATTTAAAGCCTTATTATAGTTTTAAAGGTATTTTACAAAATAATTACATTTTTAACTAATGCTTAAAAACTACCAACGGAAGAAAATACTTTTATTATGGGTTCTCAAAGATTACCGTTTATCTCCCCCATTTCAAAGATTACCGTTTTCAAATCAAGCTTGTAGCTGGCTATAAATCTTTTTTTCTCTACTTTCAAATATTGTTGTTAAACAATGCTTAACTTTACTGATTTTTGACAAATCGGTGGTTGGCCTTTTTAACCCCGGACCTTCATATATTACTATCTATTCTGCGATAAATTCTGGAAAATTATAACTGGAAAAATGTTATTCGACAAAAGGTCCATTTGATCGATACCAAATTTAGGTTCTGAATTTAAATAACATAAATAAAAAATAATATATAACCTAGAAAATGTTTTATAAATACCAATGAGCATATAATTATACATAAGATCTTTCAGAGCACCGTGTTTGAGAAAAATATGCCAAAAATGCATTTTCATATTAACATATCAAAAAAGTTTATATTTTGAGTCTCTAGTAACACTTGGGGCCCGTTTACTAACGTTTTTGTATATAAATAAAACTACAAACAAAACTACTTACTACAAATTTATCACAAATAAATAATATTCGCGTAACACATCCTATTAAACGTAATTGAACATCATCTGTCAAAAGCGTTTGACATTTCACGAAATTGCCACCGTCCATTGTTCTATTTAAATTACGCTTCTACAAAAATTTTCAAATTATAAATGTAAAGTTTCTACGCGGATTTGAAATAATTTCTCACCTTTTGGACATTCTCTGGATTGGCACGAATTTTTCAAGACTAAGACTGGCCAAATCGATTCAGCCGTTTTCGAGTTTTATTCGGACATTTGAAAGAGAGCTCCATTTTTATATATAAGATATATATATATATATATATATATATATATATACAGTGGCGGCGCCAGACCATTCGTAGGCGTCGGCGAAATTCGTTTGCGAGGCCCCCCTTTATTTCCAACTAAAGTTGACTAGTGGTGCATGGCATCGTGCCTTAAGGCAAATTGCTGAAACTTTCCGTGCCGTAATTTAAATTCTTTAAAAAATTTGAAAACTGAAAAAAAAAGATTTTTCTTTATTTGAAATATTTTTATACTTTGAAATTTGTTGAACATTTCGAACCTTTTTTCAAAGCAATCACGCTGCGTTAGCTGCTTAGAGACGAAATATCGTACATTGGTACTGAACGCATAGTAATGTAAACAAAATTTGTACTTATTAATAAAAATCTTTATCGATAATTTGATATGCATACGTCTAATGATAATTTTTGTCCACCAAATGGCTTTGCTTTTACTTTTTTTTATTGAATCTGCAAAACCGCAAGATTTGCCTTTCTAAAAATTTAACCCGTTCTTGATTTTGTTAATACAAATAAAATGTTCTTTGAATCATTCAAATCGGACGTTCCATTTTCTTAAAGACTGAATTACCATTTTGGAACTTTTTGCTCCGTATCTTCGAAACGGTTGGTCCTGCCTTTGCCAAAAACTAATCACCACGTCTTCCCACCAATACAAATCAAATGTTTTCTGAACTTTTCAAATTGGTTGATCCGTGTTCACGAAATCGTCGACGAAAATTTGTATCCGTGCATATATACATACATACACACACATACATGAATTTTTCTTAAGGTATACCAAAATATTTAGAAACCTTCGTAACGAAAAGATTTTCATTATCGATTTTTTGCGATTAATATAACTTACCCTACGGGAAGTTAAAATAAACAAACTCTTCGGCAAAAATAGTTCGTTCTTCAGATATTAGAAAAACATTGAAATTAAATAATTATTCCGAAGAAGTTTCTTGTTTGCCAAATCATTCGATTAGCTTTTTTATGAATTCTCGACCGTTCAAGTTATTCGGAATCAAAATGATTGGAAACCACCAGCCTAATCAATAGCGTATTACATAAAATTTTGCAATCAACAATTGATAAATTAGAAAAATCTACAATCATAATGATTTGTGTGCACAAATCCGCACACAGAACATACACATGGCATTACCTGAAAGCTTAGACCATTATTCCACAATTTAATGAATTTTTATAATTAATTACTTATCGTAGTTTCATAAAATTTGTTAGTTTAGACTATAATTGTTATGACTATACGAAATTTTTCTTTTAATTTTTTTTTTACCAATTCCTTAGCCCTTATGAAAGAAAAAAACGGCGCGGCCGTTCCTCTCTACGGAATTCTAATCAGCACGATTTCCAACTGAAAACTTTCGAACAGTTTTTGAATTTCCAAAATTGGTTCAGGAATGTCGAAATGTCGGATTTTTTAAGAATCTTTAATTTTTTGTCGACAATATCGGAGCGGATCACCCGATTTAAATGATTCAAAAAACATTCGATTCGTGTTGATAAATTGGCAAAGGCAGGTCCAGCGGTTTCGGAGATGCAAAAAAGTGTAAAAGGTTATCAATGCAGTCTTCAAAGAACTGACCATCTGATTAAAATGATTCAAAAAATATATGCTTGTGTTGACGGTGTGAAACGATGATTAGTTTCCAATTAACAGTATTTATAATATTTATTTCAAAATATAAAACGATTGTTATATCTCATTGATCAATTCTTACTGATCATTGATTAATTTTATTCCTCGAATATTTAATTACTGTTTGGATACATTATGATACCTACTCATAAGAATTCCCAAAAGGAATAATGATTTACATTTTCTTCGCATAAGAAACAATCAAACAAATATAAACAATCAGAGAATTAGCCTTCTCGCGCGAAGTTGTTTAGATTTAATAATCTATAGTGTTGACAGACGATATTAGATAGTGTCCATTAGAGATAAGAGAGTAAAATGATAGTGCCCGTAAACCATTAATTATTTTCTTTACTTGCTCATCAGTATGAAAAAAAAACTAAATAAAAATTAAAAACGAAATTTTAAACAATTAAAAATTTTTCGGGGCCACTTGCGAGGCCGCCGCCGACACCGACACTGCCGACGCCTAGCTCCGCTACTGTATATATATATATATATATATATATATATATACACCTAAGTCTGTTTTTACACGGTCTTTTTGTACACGGTTTTGATATAACACGGTTTGAAAATTGAATATTTTTATTTTTTTTACACAATTTTATTCCATTTAGCACGATTTGAAATTTTATGTACTTAAATTTTTTTGTCAAATTTAATTTTTGCGAAGTATGTTCATATCACAAAAAAGTACTTATGAAAGAAAAACGTCTGAAACCATCGATAGTATCGATAGTTTGCGAACACTAGCTTAAAGATTTAAGTGAATTCCCCTTTAGCGCGTACAAACAATTTTTACTGATCAAAGCAAATGTGAATAGCACTAATTTAGGGGAATTATTATTAAAATAAACATGAATTCTTGTTCTTGAAAATTCTTGTTTTTCACTAATTTTAATAGGTTTTAGAGAGTAGAAACAAATCACCCATTTTTGTATAAGACCAATGTCTTTTTTTACACGTTTTTTTTTACACGGCTTCTTCTGGAACCAATCTCCGTGTAAAAACAGACTTAGGTGTATATATATATATATATATATATGAATATTTATTCAGGGTGTCCCAGAACTCAACATCTAGCCGAAAGAAGGCGATAGTATTGACCGTAAGGGTCTTCAAAAAAAATATGAGCTTTGGTGAATTTGTGATCATTTATTTGCGTATTATAGTCGATTTTTATTACTTTTATTCATTTAAACTTTGGAACTGCAATCGTAAATAATATTTCTAAGACCACAGTCAAAAATACTAACACAATTGTCCCAATTTTGCCAGTAATAGGACTTTTTGCTGAACTATAAATTTAAACTTTTTAAAATCGATCGACTTTCAGAAACCTTCCTTTTTAAAAAAAAATGTACTAAAGCTGTGTTGGCAAGTTTCATCAAAAGTTGGCATATTTAATTAGGATTGTAAAATGGTAAAATAAAACGAGTAAAAAAACGAAAGAAAGTCCCATAATTGCAAATGCACTCAAATATTTTTGTTTCAAATAAGCTCTTGATAGATTCATAATTTTACTGTAAAATGATGAGAGATAGTAGATAAGCTAAACAAATACTGACACCACTTTTACGAAAATCAACAAAAATAAGTAGAGTTAGTGAGTGAAACAAATACTGACACCAATGTTATCAAAATCAACAAAAATAAGTAGAGTTAATAAAATAATGTCTAATTTTGACTAAGTTTAATTTAGGTTTATTGAAATAAAAGTTAGAAAAATGTCATTTCGTATTATAATAAATGTTCAAATTGTTTCCTATCTGCGTCAACACATGCCCTATATCTTCTTAATAAAAATTTGTTTGTTAATTGAAAAGTTTTCGAAAAAGTTATAAAAATTAACCAGAATAACCTATTTTTTTTTAATAATTTTTATCAGGACAGTTACGATTAATACAATCACCCTGTTTCGGATTGACGTTAAGTTTTGAGACCTCCTCTATGACTATATATATATATATATATATATATATATATATATATATATATATATATATATATATATACATTGAGCCCTTAATTTCCTCTAAAAACCCGTCGACTTGCTGGTAATAGTTTTAGAAAATGTGCTTGTTTGTTAAAGGTAATATAAATGAATGCGTGTAAGCATGCATATACCTGTCATAGTATAGAAATTCACATATATAAAAAAGAGATATCAAAAACAAATAGTCACTCACCCCATTATTTCTTGAAGTATGACCACTTGGACCTGGAGCATTAAAATTTTCACTTGATATTACAGCAGAATTGGCATCCTGTGTAAGGTTTGCCATACAACGCTGGGCGTTGCCATAGACCTAAAAGTGTTATAAATTCATGAACAATGTTATGTAAATAAAATTTCGCGTTACTTGAAACGAGATTAATTTAAAATGCGTAAAATATAGTTATACATGCAATGCATTATTTAATTCTTATGAGTATAATGCCAAAATTTGTAATATAATTTGATTGTTAAACATCATATTCTTTAGATATTTCTACTTATTGTGTATCAATGAATATGAGGGTCTTTATATGTTCTTCATAACGCTTTCTATTATGTTTCAAACTGATTATTTTAGTGGTATAATATTTCAAGATTTGTTCAAAGACATTAATATATATTAATATATACATTTTCACATTTCATGCCAAATGAATTATAAGCCACCTAATTTGCACTTACATATGTATTTAGACTAGTATCTGTATCTGATTCATCATCCGATATGCATATAGGCTCATCATTAAAAGATGAAACTGATTCAGAAGCATTGCTATTACTTAACAGTGGTAATGATTCCCTAGCCTGAGCAGATAATTGTAACTGAATTCGTGGCATTTGGTCAACTGCAGTTGCGGCACTTGTTTCTCTTATCGACTGAGTCTGAAAATCAGTGCGAGGTATAATTTGATTATGTATTCTTTCAAAATGTGGTGCTGAATCAGGTTGTACAGTGTAGGCATTTATACGATGATGACAGTTTCGACATAAGGACGCATCGCCAGATTCTAATGATGATGGATGCGCACGTACTTCAGTACTAGACGGAGCAGATGTTATATTAGTATTTCTCTGACCATTCTGAGAATTGCTACGAAGACGTTTTCCTGTTTCTTGATTACTGACAAAGTATTCTTGGTCGAATCTTTCCGGTGAAATCAAATTAATGTTTGATGGCACAGAATGATTGGAAGTGTAACTACATGATGGTTTTGGCTCATTAATCACGTGGTCAGTAAGTATATTATCATTGAAAAAATCAGCATCAGATGCATTGGTATTGTTAAAATTATTACTAGCGATACTATATTCTGATGGATTTTGACAATCGCCAGGAGTAGAAACAAACATGTTTCCACTTTGAGAGGAGTTTATTTTTCTTTTACGATTGTTGTTCTTGCATGTTTCAATAAAGTTTTTTAACATTTTCTTGTTCCTCCCCATCTTAACATGTTTTGGAGCTGGATCATCTGTAGCCTTCATCACACACTCCTAAATGATAAATTATTCACATAATTAAAAGTTCACATGAAATAAGTTATTTTCTTTTTTCAAAGACGCGATAAATGATAAAATAATAAATTATTGTCTTTAAAATTTAGACAATAACAATAAATGAAAGTGAACGAAGATTCATGTTTGAATGTTTTACTCTTTATTTTATTAATTCAATTGTGATTTAACTGTAATAATACTTTTATAAAAGGCTATAAGAATAAATCACGTACCTCAATCATTTCATTCAAATCTTGTGTCTCAATGTTACGTGGAGCAATTGGACCTTGAGGTCGGTTTCCTAACATTTGACTATTCATTGGTAAATATATATACGTATTGCTGAAAATACAACAAATTAATCAACATTTTCATTCCTGCGCGAATTATCTTTTGTTCTTATGTTCTTAATAGCTTGATGATGCTTTACATGATTGATGCAATAAGAATGTTCTTACTGTGAATGTAAATTTTTAATATTTGTGCATTTTACACACACACACACATCACATATTATATATATATATATATATATATATATATATATATATATAGGTGTGTGTGTGTGTGTCTGTGTGTATGTGTGTGTGTTTTAGCTAATAAAAAATTAATAAAAAAAACTATGAAGGTTTAAACATTTGTAGCGAAAATTGTAAATGAATCCTAAGATTTATTACTTTTGTACCCAAAAGTTTGATCCTGCGGAGCATTTAGTGTTGATATATGTCACAACCCTTTGAACGCAGTAGCTTATTATATTGTTTTCAAACATATATCAGCGATATTAAGGGATAATATCAGATATTCGATAATGATAATTTACAAGTGGTTTCTGCGTACATTTATTGTCCAACAGCATGAGAAGAACAGCAAGTCTGTGCATAAAGCAATATGCTATATTTATTGCCCAATAATCTCGAAGTCATCGGTTTTCATAGCCTGAAAAAAAAAACAAATAATATTAACCCCTTAACTTAAAATGACGAGCAGAGCCCGCGTGCGATTGCTAGGCCAAAATTAAATGTTACGGGCACAGCCCGCGTACGATATTCGGGCCAGAAGCAAATATTACGCATTACGGGCATGTCCCGGTATGGTGAACGCAAGTATTATAAAATATTTATTTATACGAAACTATAAAACTCAAAATTATTTTTATTTTTGTGATGAACCGTACAGTATGAGAGAAAATAGTCACAAACGCCGCGCCAGCTTGAACAACTTTGGGCCGACATTTTCGAATCTAAATCGTAAGTTAAGCTTCTCATATTTGTTCCGGTTCGGTTCGAGAATGAAAGAAACAAAAATCATTACAAAACCCATTTTGTGCATATATATATATATATATATATATATATATATATGCGTGTGTATGTTTATTACATTAATTGGAACGTTTAATAAAAAATTAGTTAATTTATAAAGTACAAATAGTATATCAAATAACACTGCATAAATATTTTTAACAGCTTTAACATTAAAACACTAATGGTTTTTATAAAATATTCCAAATAGGATTATGTTCAAGATGTTGTAGTTGAATATTCCTTGTTTTGTTGTCATCCGCTGAACGATGAGACTTTAACCAAGATTAAATAATTATTGTGGTAGGCCATTCATTTTTATAAAAAACATTTGCTAAATTTTTAATTAATATTCTATTTCTTTGTTCATTTAAAATAATATTCATATTACTGAATCCGCGCTCACACTCTGCCGAACTCCAAGGCACAATATTTCTGTATCGAATTAGGATTTCTATATCTTTAGCCTCCAGTATTTATATAATCTCTGAACGCATTGACCAATCGGTTATATCTAATACTCACTTATGAAATCGCATTTTCTGTATGTAGCGATTTTTTCAAAATTCTTTTGACGAAACGACGTTCCGGCTCGATAACACACCACTGTATATAATAATAAATGGTAGTCTGCTCGAAGGCAGGTCCATGATGCGAGAGCCACCACAAATAACTGATTCGTCTATCATTCCCATTACCACTATTTCCCTCCCCTTCTTTTATTCCGTGTATTTTCCTTTCCAAACTTCTGCTTCCATGCTTCTTGATCCTGTGCTTCGGCTTTCAGTTCCCTGTATTTTCTCTTCTCGCGTAAGTCGTCAATCGTCTGCATTCTTCTTCTTCCCATTCCTTTTTATGCAGAAGGGGTTCGATCCAGTTTGCTTTTCTTCTCAGGATTGTTCTCAGTAGAGTCCTTTCTTCGCAAACTCTGCTCAGGACTTCTTCATTTGTTATCTACTCTGTCCACTTTATTTTCTCCAATCGCCATCAGCACCACATTTCAGAACTCTCGAGGTAGTTCTTATCGGCCTTTGTTAGAGTCCATGTCTCTGATCCGTACAGAGCTATGGATATATATATATATATATATATATATATATATATATATATAATCATATAAAATTGAATAAACAGCAAATTGAATTGAATAAGCAAATAAAATATTAGTAGCAGTTACAAATAATTTGTTTTTACAGGGTTTTTCGTATCACGATTAATAAAATTGATAAAAAAAAATACTCTTGTAGATTTCGGCAAATTTATGACATGTTAAATTCACATCATTATGGTATTTTGTTTAGGATTGACATTGTCAACAATATAATCAAGTAAATAAAAACGAATCGATCGGACGAAACAAAATATTTTTAACGCAAATTTTTTTTACTTTTTTATAGACATTTTTTTTAATACAAAATGAATTTTTTTACTATATTTTTAACGTGGCTTTTATTAAACTCCGCATACACAGAAAACAATGAAACAACAGAAACTGTGAATAAATACAGACTTGAAATACCACAATCAAGAAGAAATCATCTACCAAATTGGGTTATACCGCAAGATATACATTCGAACTACGATATTAGCGATTGGGTGAGCAAACTATACTTGCAACAATGTGCTATAGTGGAAATTGGCGAGGAGACATGCGCGGTAAATTGATGATTAAAATGTAACACAAAATTAAAAGAAACGTTCAAAAATGCTAGTAATTTAATAACTGACATCGGACTTATTTTATAACATAGTGTCCTGCAGTGGTCAGTGAGAAAAAAAAACTTAATGCTTGAGGGGTCGTACAGTGCAATTATGCAATTTCAACGATGATAAAAATAGTCAATGCTTGAATTATGTTTCAATCAATGAACCTTTTAGATGTTCGTGGAAGCTTATGCTCCCTTTGCGCCAAACGAGCAAGTGGACCCACAAGAATATTTCCTGGGAATAGCTGACTGTGCATGCATTCGATCATGGAACCTGTGCGGAACAATACTTAGTATGGAACGTAAAGAGGACTGCATATTTCGGGAAGGCAATGATAACATTGAACTTACTGATATTTTGCAAACGGAAATGGGCCAACCATGAATAATTGTTTGACGAAAATATTATATTTGATTCTAGAATTCAATGCAAATATTTAAAATTACATACTGTCGTTTTCGATTGAATATTATTCTCGATTTCAAAACTTTGTTATAATCGCGAAAACGTGAATAGACAAAGGCAATAAAGTAACGGAGAAAGCATTCTTTTTTATGCAGCTTGCTTATAAAATTTCCAATTTTATTATTTATTAACTGCAATATATTATATTACAGTATTAATACAGTAGTCTATATTTTTATCAATATTTTTGTGAATTAAATCATTTTTTGTGTCAATTTAAATATTCGAAACGTTTATTCTGTTGATTAATATTGCTAATTATTTAAGTAATATTTCTGCCTATCATTCCTAATATTCAATGCTAACAAAATTCTATTTTATTTAGCTGTCGAATTTGCGCAAAATAGTGCTCGTGTTCATCGAAGACTATGCGATGTTACGGGAATTGCTCAATGGGAAACTCATTGTAACTGTTCCGGGCGTACACTCGCAAGTGTACCACTACAGAAAGTAACAGGTATTATTTACTAATATGCAAAAAAAATCTCACATGATAAAGGAAAATTCAATTAATTTTTCGATGTTTGGCATTTTGCGAACAAAATATTTATTTTTTTCTTTCACATTTTTTTTCCAAAAAGTTGAGGATAAAGCATAAAGAAGGAAAAAGCGTATATAATACATGATAGATATTTTCACATGCTTCTTGAACTAGATGAACATAAATTATTACCGCTTTACGAAGAGGCGGGACTAAGAACTACCACGCCCATGCACACAGCTATGGCCGCTCGCGAAGTTTTACAACAAACTACATAATACGGATTAATTCTTAAAACTTCATACAAATAACTAACATTTCAATACACATAAATACACTAGTATATAGTCGAAGCAACTCAATTTTAATTATTAATCACACACGTACGAAATAAAGGTTTGACCTTGAGAATGCTTGATTTGATCACCCATTTAATTAATTTTTAATTTGCAACAATACTAAATAAATTAAAAGTATATAAAAAAACTCACCTTATCCATACTTCACGAAGCACTCGTTAAACTAATTTTAATGAACTACCAGTTTCAAAAAATCAAAGATGGTAATAATCGCGAAACCGGAATAGACGACAATGGCAGACCAAGTGGCGGGGCAAGCATTCTTATACAGCTTGTAAATAAAATTAGGTGGGGGTCACAACGCAACCACAGATCCTTCAATGGAACCACGAAAAAGATTATAAATTATCGTTAAGCGATTAGAACTAAATACATTAAAAGTTGAGTTTTGGATTTGAAAATGTTGTATTGAGCTTCGAACAAAGAATCCAATTAAATAGAGTAATAAAAAACAAAGTTTTTGAAAAAAAAAAGTTATTTAATGTCAACGTTTTGGAACTATGTACGATGCACCTGCAGGGCAGAAGATCAACAAACAAAACTAATAATATATATACTAAAAATAAAAAGTGAACTGTAATATGTGATTAAAATATAAATGAGGTCGTATATAAAATATATAATAAAAAATATAAAAAATGAATTATATAACAAATGTTGAAATAAAAGCTAGGTATTATCAATTAAACATGCTGTGAGAATGTAGAAAACCAAATTATTTACCTGCATCATTGATTATGCACTAACATTTCGTATATCACTAAAGACATTTATTTAAATGAAATATGCTTAAATTTCTAGTCTAGAAATATGTTTCTAGAAATATTTTTGACAGTTGGATTTATGTTTTTTGAGTTTGTAACGAAGTAGTTATATTCGCTCAATATTAGTTAATAGATAATTAGTTTTAAATATAAACGCAAGCCACTTGAAGAAAGTTTGTTTGTATTATTCGTTTCAGTTTACGCGGGTGTGAATTCACACATATTTCATTAACAAAAATATTTTTAGTGATATACGAAGTATTAATGCATAAACAATAACGCAGGTGAATAAATTTGTTTTCTCAATTCTCACTTAAACATTTTGTTATAAAATCCATTCTTTGTTATATATATATATCATATATCATATTCTCTCATTTATAATTTCATCACTTATATTACAATCACTAATTCTTATTTATTCTTTACTATATATGTTATTAGTTTTGGTTAATTATCTTCTAATCAAGATCGTGTTATTAACAGATGCCCTGCAGATGGAACGTACATATTTGCTAAACATTGACTTCCATATTTCCAAAACATTGAACTCATAAGTTAATTTTTTTAAATATCCTATATTAATATTAACCTTTTAGATTAAATAATTATTGTTTTTCATATAACAGACTATATCAATATGAGTAATGTTGAATCTAAAACTGCGTTAAATAAAATGATGAGTCTCAATTCCTACACTTATCTTTTTAATTATACTGTGGAAACTAAATCAGCAACACCACAACTATATG